AAAAAAAAAAAAAAAGAAGGGAAAAACAAAAACAAAAAATGCTTGAAAGGGCATACAACAATCATCCCCAGTTGATAGGTTTGCTGAGGTTCTGCCTCCTTTGGTTTCAAATCACAGTTGGAGCTACCAAGAAAACCAGGGTTGTACCTAATTGTAAAGTGAATGAAACTCCTTTCTCAGAGCTGTTACAGGACCAGATAAGAAAGGACTTGGAGTGCTTGAAGAAGTGTGGCATAAAAGTCCAGGAGATGACAGTTATGATATAAAACAGGAATATTTTAAGAATTTTGGGGTGTTACTCCCCAAAGCAGAAAATAGCCTGTCCCCGTAAAGAAAATTGTTTTGAGCTTCTTCCAAGGGCATCCAACCTAATGGTCGCAGGAGTCACAGAATGTCAAACTCCGCACTTCAGTCTGAGTTTAAAGACTAACCCAAGGGAACTGCCACTGAACTAGTACATGATTTCTGGCCAGTGGTGGCCAGTTGATTCAAGTGTTTTCCTTTTACTCCAACCCAGACCTCTCCTAACTTTGAATCTTAGAGTCTGAGCCCAATGAATACTTCCAAGGAGGAACAGAGGGCAAGACAACAGACCCATCTCCTCTTGCACCCTTTGCAGGTCCCAGCCATGTACCCACAGAGCAGCCTGCAACCTGTGTGGATGGGGGAAGGACAGAGCTACTGCCAGCACGGATGCCCTATAGGCAGGGACCAGGCCTTGTTTTTGGTGGTAATTGACAGCCCAGCCTAGAAAGCCAAAATTTCCCATCTCTCCATCTCTACTGCCATGCATTTTTCCCAGGTCCTTTGACCTAGCATAGTGGCTAAAGCATTCGACTGCTAACCAAAAGGTCTATGGTTCGAACCCACCAGCCACTCCATGGGAGAAAAATGAGGCAATCTACGTCTATAAAGATTTACAGCTTTAGAAAAACCATATGGGGCAGTTCCACTCTGTCCTATAGGGTTGCCTATGAGTTGGAATCAACTCAATAGCAGTGGTTTGATTTGGTTTGATTTTTTTCACTTGGATCACATCAACCATATCCCCAGGCCTCTAGGCTAGTACCTTGTAAGCTTTTTGATCACGCTTTGCTACCAGTAAAAAAAAATTCTGAGCATGTAACCAATATATTTTTATATAACTTTATAAGTGATATATTACTATTTTGTATACATTTTAAAAACATTCAATAATATCATTAAAAGGATGTAACAAAAAAACATAAAAAAGAAAGCTAGTATTTCCTCCTGCGTCCCAATGCACGGCACTTCAGACAACAGTCTGGTGTATCTTCCCTGCAAATAATCATCACCTATGGCTACCAGCCTCCCAGACGTGAGGATAAAGGCTAAGAACACAGGCTTGGGCATTAGATACATCTGGGCAAGTCACTCACCTCTCTAAAATGCAGTGGTCCCTACTTTGCAGGTGTGATGGGAGGGCCAACCATGCTGAATGGAAAAGGCCTGGCACTGCACTGCCTACATGGCACATAAAGTCCTCAAACTGAGTACCTTCTCAAGTATATAGAAACCAGAGTTTATCAGTGGTTACCAGGGATAACTTGGGAGGGGGAAAGGGAACTCTATGCTTAGGTGCCACCAAGCTTCTGTTAAAAGAGATGGAAAAATTTGTGAACAGATAAATGTGTTGACTGATGAAGAACATGATGTCACTAACTGTACACGTGAAGAATGCTGGAATAGCAAATGTTTTATTACATATATATTTACCACACACACACACACACACACACACAATCCAGTGCCTATTCATTCCTGCCAGTCTACTTATTGTGGCAAATGTCACCTCCTTTGCAAAGGTTCCCTCCATCCCTGACTCAAGTACAGAAAAGTCACCAGTAGCTAAGCAAACTCAGAGCCACCTACCTCCTGCCGGAACTCCACTGCTTCCCGTCCATCCTCCTCCTTGGTCTCCACCAGTGACATCTTGACCCAAGTGCGGAAGCCCCCAGAGAACTTCCAGCTGGAATAGGCACTCTCACAGTCCTGCATGAAGCCCACCTTGTCTGGGCTTGGAGGACAGAGAGAAGGAAGGTCCAAGTTAATCCAGCCCTGACAGCAGGATTCAAACACAGCCAGACCCAAACCCCAGCCCCTACTTCAAGGCTCTTTCTTTGCTGGTGCCACTAGGATGCTGCCACCAGCCTCAAGGCAAGAGCTTGATCCCTGAGGCTCCCATTGAGACAATTCCTCTTCCCTCCCACCTCATCATTCCTACAACCTATGCCCAAAGCTGCTGGCCCTACAGAAAAGTCTCCAAAAGCTTCCCACACCACAGTGCTGCTGGGTCCTCAGAGAACCCAGGGCTTCATCAGATCTTGAGGCAACCTTTATGGACCCATCAGTGTATCCCTGGGAGGCCCAGAGCAGGCATAGTGTTCCTAGGGAGCTCTTGGCCTAATGAGACCCATGTCTGCCCCCAGGGCAGTGCAGACAAGACATCCTCATAAAGCGCACATAAACAAGTAAAACCACGCTGCAGAGCTGAGGAAGCTCCGAAAGGGGCACAGAGGCGGGTGAGAAGCTGCTGAAGTCTTCTAGGAGGAAGGAACACCAGGCCAACTTGAAGCAGGGAAGGGAGATGATGGAGTTCTGGGTAGCAAAAAGGGTGCAAGAGTGGGATGCAAAGGAGAGGCTCTGAGTGGGGGCTGGTGTGGAGCAGCTCACTTCATTTCCAACTGGGGTGCAGCCCCTCCTCCCATGGCAGCTGCCTCCCTACTTCCTTTCAATGTAGCCCAGGGTTCAGCATGGAACACTGGGAGGGACTGAGTCACACACAGCTCAGACCAACAGAAAACACTCCCACCCCTACCAAGCACTTTGGGCCCAGAAGGGCTGCCAGCATTCCCAAAGTAGCATACTGGAAACAGACTAGAACCTCGACTGATCAGGGGATCGTCACTGCAAGTGAATATCAATAGCAACACTTATATGCTCATATCAGAAATATTTACAGCAAACACTAAGCACTAAGGGCAAGACCTGGCTGAGGCACAAGACAGGGCCTGCCCTCAAGGGCCACAAAACAGAAGACTGAGTCCTATTCTCAGCAGCCCCAGGCACAGGCCAGACCAAATTACCTCTGTAGGACCCAACCTCTAGTGCAGGGAGAGTGTCAGAACACTCCTCCTTAGACTGGCATGATTGGTAATGAGGTTCAGTCATGCCATGAGGCAGAAGAATGGGCCCACTGAGCTCCTGGGGTCCTTTTCCATGCCAAGGAGTAATATGGCCACTCAGTTCCCTGCCCTAACCCGCTTCTCCCCCTGGGGATGTGCAAGCTGTGCAATATGATAACAAGTGTGGTGCAAGCCCGCTGTGAGCTCTTTAAGACCACCTCTGCAGGAACTCCTGGTAAGAAGAGAAGAGGAGGTAATCGATGGCACTGAAGTCCTCGCTACTCTCATTCAGGCGGAACTGGAGGAAGACCAGCTCCCGCTTCTTCACTTCCTGGGGCCCCCGGACAATCAGGGCGGATTTCTGCAGAGAGACAGGGCAGAAGCTCAGCCTGGGATGTGGTTTTCCTGTGCCCTGCCTCAAGCACAGAGGCTTCTAGCTCTGAGGACAGAGCACTGCCTGGAGAGCCCACCGCTGGAGCACTGGCCAGCCCCTCTGGTTCTGGGAGTGGACAAGGGCGAGCTGTGCACAGCCTCCTCTTCAGCTCTGGGTGGTTCTCAATGCCCATACCTGAGCTGGCTGTACTCAGACCGTATTCCACTGTTACCCCTAGTTATCTGAGCTACAGAAGCACTTGGCTACCAAGGATATTAACTTTCATTTGTCATATATGCAGATCTGTTCTTCTAGTCTGTCACTTTTAACTTTGTTGCCAATGTCATTTGTTACATGGATGCTTTAAATTTAATGTAGTGAAGTCTATAAATCTTTATGGTTTCTGAGTTTTGCTATAGGAAAGCCAAAATTATATCAATATCCTCCTGCATCTCTTTACAGAAATTTTTAGATTTATTTTTACATTAGGGTATCTTACAAACCTTGCTTTAAGTTTTGTTCATGGTGTGAAATAGGGATCTAGCTTTCCCCCACAAAACAATGCACAGATGTGTTTTACAGCCTCCAAACAATCTTTTAACCTACAGTAAATTCACGCATGCAACCAACATATATGTCTGCTCCTGAGCCTAACATATTCACAAGTTTGTCTCTTCCTGCACCAATACTGTACCACTTTTTTTATTACTGTGGCTGTACATTGTCCCCTCCATATCACCACTTCCCACCTCCCACTCTCATATTGTCTTGGTTAGTACTCTTCTACAAGTACTTTAAAATTAGCTTAAGTTACATTTAGAAATCCACTGAGACTTATTAACTTTAATGATACCGAATTTATGGGTTTAGAAAAAAAATTTTGTATATCATCAACTTTTATAAATGCTTCATAGATATTTGAAAAGTATTCTATCAGGTACAAATTTTCTGTCATATACATACACACACACATATAGGTACACACACATTCATATGCTAAATGAATTATCTGTGCTATTTAATTCTCATCCTTCATGATACAGTGCCTAAGGCATTTGACTGCTAACCAGAAGGCTGAACCAGCCACTCCATGCAGGAAGACTGGGAAACCTACTTCCGTAAAGATTTACTACCTTGGAAACCCAAAGGCGGTTGCTATGAGTCAGAATCAACTCGATGGCAGTGGGTGGGTACTATTCTTTGTCTATTTGATCTTTAAATTTCTGAGAAGGTGTTAAAGTCATACTCTAAGGTGATGATGTTTTTTATTTCTAATAGATTCTGCTTAAAATCTACAAGTGATATACTGTTTTACATGTACAAGATTTATGACTTACATCATCTTAGCAGACAGCAGTGGAGTTGGACTTTTTATCAATATTAAACATCCCTCGTTTAATCATTTGCACCTTGAATTTTATTTAACTGATATTAATATTGCCACTCCACTTTTTCTGGTTGTAGTTGCAATTTCCCAAGAGATCTTTCTCCATTTTATTGTCAACCTTTCTGTGACATTTCAAGTGTGCAGTGGAGACTGCTAATTGCCCTGTTTCCATTACCCATGTCTTCCTTCAGTACTACTTCCCCAGCCCCAGATTTTAGCAGAATACAGTCACCCAGCTGGAGCCTCATTTCTGGCCTTGAATGTGGCCATGTAATGAAGCTGCCGGACTGTGGACAGAAATGACTCATGCATTCAGCATCATTTCCTTGAAAGAGACCTGCTTGCCCACCACTTCTCCTTACCTTCCTAGGAGCAGGCATTCATACACACACTGGAGAGCCAGTTCTGAGCACATGGACCAGAACACCACCCAAGGGGTGGCAAAGTGACAAGACAGAAACTGGACAATCCTGAGGGGAAACACTGCCAACTGTGCACACTGCCAATGTGCCTGGACTGTCACCAGAGAGCAGATGTTTCCTTGTCTTGGCCACAGAATGTTGGCTGTTATTTTTTTATGCAGTAGTTTAGCCTATACTCTGACTACTGAAATGGTTATCTGGAACTAGAGTGCTATGGTAATAAAAACCTAAAAATGAGGCATTAGCTTAAATTTAGGTGGTGGGAAAATGGTGGGTGGTGAGGAAACAGACACAGCTGATACAGATACTGAAGACTAGAAAGGCAGTGACCCTGATCGTGCTGAAGCAAAACATTTGGTAAAAGTTAACTACCATTAAATTGAGGGCACAAGAGATGGGTCTAGAAGAAAGAACAGAAAACAAATGAACCTCTGAAGATTTCAGAAGTATAACCAGATAATGTTTCTGACTGTAGACCTTTTTGTGTGCACCTGACCAGATGCAAACAGCAGGAAGCCTATATATTTCTAAAGAAACCTTATGGCGAACAAAGGTGGCAGAGGAGGAGGAGAATAATAAGAAACCAACCTGTGAGCAGTCTGTGACTGCTCACTCTAAAGCAACCCCCAAACAGACTGAAGCTAGAGGTGGGAAAAGCTGTGTAGCCTCCAAGGAGGTCACTTCAGATAGGGCCAAAGAGGAGCACCAACAAGGAAGAACTTCTCAGAGGACAAGGCCAAGGGCTACTGAAGACAAGGGAGTCCCTCCCAGAGTAGAAGTTAATGTCTAACTTGGTGTCAAGGCAGGGTTCTCATGATTCTGCCCAGCAGGACTCCATCACGGCTAGAGACCAACGACTTCTGGGTGCTTCCCACTCTTTCCATTCCCAAATGGGAGTTCTACTGCTCTTATCTTATTCTTTTTCCACTACAGTATGCTGGTTTGGGGTACAGGGGCAGGCAGGCATGATGGGTAGGAGTAGATAAGATCTCCACTAGTTTATAACTTGTAGTCTGCAAGGATCCACACATAGAAGTAATGGAGAATACTAACAATCACCCAGAGCTGGAGGCAGAAACTACATTCAACTTAACTTTAATGGAAACAATTCTCCTTATTTCGTGGATTTTTTTAATAGTTTATGTAACTATTGTAACAATGGGTAGAAACAGATTTGGGAGCAAGTACATCTGACTCCTAGGATGCATAGTACCCAACTGAGGGAAGCAGAAGAGGATGGACATCAGAGGACAGTGCCAGCTGTGAGGTGAAAGCCCATCACGAGCACTCAGTTAGTATGTTCTACAGAGGGAATGAGAGAGCTGGGAATCCAGACAGATAGTATCTACAGTATACACAGCTCTGTATTAAATTTTTTTTTTTAAATTCTATTTTATAAAATTAACTTCCATTCTCCTATTCCAGGAGTTTTAAGGCACCCTAGAGGCACGATGGTTACATGCTTGGCTCATAACCAAAAGCTCAGAGGTTTAAACCCACCAGCTGCTCCATGGGACAAACGACCTGGTGATCTGCTACTGTAAAGGCTCACTCACTCACTCACTGCCGTGGAGTAGGACCCGACTCATAGTGACCCCTCCTTGGGTTTCCTAGGCGGTATCACTACAGAAGTAGATCTCCCAATCTTCCTTCCAAGGAGTGGCTGGTGGGTTTGAACCACCAGCCTCCTGGTTAGCAGTCAAGTGCCTTAGGCACTATGCCACCAGAGCTCCTCTGTAAAGGTTACAGCCTAGAAAACCCTGTGGGGCAGTTCTTTTCTCTCCTATGAGTCAGGATTAACAAAAGGACAGAGTAGAACTGCCCTGTAGGGTTTCCAAGGCTGTAATCTTTATAGATGCAGACTGTCACGTCTTTTTCCCAGGGAGCAACTAGTGGGTTTGAACCATATACTTTTTAGTGAGCAGCTGAGTGCTTTAACCACTATATCACCAGAGCTCCTTTGCAAATCTCCAATAGCCTCTAATTTTCCATTCTTACTTATGAATGAAAGGTTAGGTTGACTACAATCAGGTGTGGGCTTCTTCCAAGTGGTGTCTTTTTGTTTCTGCTTGCTGGGGTGACTGACTGTAACCCCAATGTGAGTGGGTAGGGAGTGCCGGTGGGCAGGCTGGGTACTTGTCAGTGTGTTTCATTCCTGCGAAGAGATTTCTTTCCTTCTGGCTCATGGCACTGTCCACTGTGGAGGGCCAATCTAAGTTGTGCTCTGCTTCTCTCTTCTGGCCCAATGACCAAGTAGGGAACGCTCCCCTTAGCTTATATTTACAGGATGGTTCCAGAGCCTTTCACTCAGAAGCAAACACCACCTCAGTGGCTCAGGGACCAACAGGTAGCCCTATGATTACGACCCTGATGATAGCCCTCTGGCCAACTGTGATGTTTGAACATTCAGACTCAGAGCTTGGAGTTGGAAGAAAAGTGCTCACCTCTATGGAAGTCCTCTCCTGCATCTGTTTTGGGTTATGGATTTTCTCTGATTTTTTACCCCAACAATCTAAACCAATCTGCTACTTATATTTTATACTATTCCTCAAAATTTCTGGTCCACCAATGATATTCATTCTCAAAACCCATTAAACAAGTTGCCATTGAGTTGATTCCGACTCATGGCAATCCCATGTGTATCAGTAGAATAGCTCCAGACAGTTTTCAGTGGCTGATTTTTCCGAAGTAGATCTCCAGACCTTATTCTGAGGTGCGTCTAGGTGGACCTGAACCTTCAACCTTTCAGTTAACAGCCAAGTGTGTTAACTGTCCCGAGACTCCTCTCCCATCTTAAACCCCATTAATAGAGCCCTATCACCCAGTAGAGCAAGTCCAGCTCCACAGTATAACACACAGGCTTCTCTCACCTGGCCATTACTGCTGTCCACAGCTTCCTCTCCCACCATTTTGGGGCACCTGACCCTCCAGAAACACCAAACCACTGAAATTTTTCACAAGGGTACAAACACAACATATTGTTTCATTCATTTTATATCTTGGTGCAGAGAGTTCCTCAGCTTAGAAAGTCCTTCCTTCCTCTTGGACCTGGCAAATTTTTGTTACCCATTTCAATCCTTTCTGAAGCAAGAATATGGGATTAAAAAGATATAAATATGTACTTCCTACCCTGCCTTGAAATCCCCGTGCTGGAGTTGCTGCCTTTTCAAAATCCTCCCTGCCCCCCTTGGAGGTCCCATGGCTGTCAGTCATCAGCTGGTGTGTGCACAAGTGTGCATACACAGTGTATGTAACAGCAGAGCCAGGGACTCAGCCCAGAACCCTTCAGTCCCAGACCAAGGTTCCCTCTTTACATCAGCATGTTTGTTTCAAAATATAGTTTCCTAGGTCCCAACCCAACAGATTAGGATTCAGTTGGCCTCACAGGAAATTGGTAATCTATAGTTTTCTAAAAGCATCCCAGAGATTCTGCCAAGCAGTCAGGATGTGAACCACTCTGCTATATTGTCCCACTGGCCTGTCCTTTAGCACTGTCATCCTTAGGTCAAGGTCAGGATCTTACCATGTTATCAGAAATCCTGGATGGCACTCAAGAGAAGGATGACAGCCTCTGACTTCCTTCCCTGAGGACAAGCAATCCAGCCACAGCTAAGTATTCACCTGTCCCACCCTCAGGTCTCATGGGAATGTGTAAAGGCCACCCTGGGATAAAAGTGGGACAGAAGGGAATTTGGAACAGCCTTGGGCCCTTGGAGTGCAGAGCTAGCAGAGCACACTGCCCAGACCCAGCTTGACTCAGGGAGCCAGGACTTACCAGGGTCTGATTGGAGAAAGGGTCTGTGTAGTTGATCCTCTGGGTGGTACAGTTCATGTCTCCTGGCTGGCCAGGGCTCCTCAGAGGAGGAATGACCTCGTAATGGTGCTTACAGCTAAGCAACTGAGCCTGACCAGGGTATAGGGCAATACCTAGGGGCACAAACAGGGAAAGCAAATGTCAGAAGTAGCAGTCCCTAAGCACATGCCTAAACATAATTTCACACATTTTTTTCACTTCCACCAACAACCTATATTCAGGATTCTCTGGGTGACTGCAGATGAGGGAGAAGGAAAGGGTGTCTTGCCCTCAGAAGCCCTAGTGTAACGGAGGAGACAATCCCCTCTTCAGCACACCTTCCGGCCTGGGACACCAATGCCTACACCAAAAACTGCTCCACTTTGGAACCCTGCTCACCATACCTTAAGGGCGGCTTCCTTTGACAAAGCCACAGTCACACTGTGCACCATCACACATCTGCAGATTCACCAGAGGTGCTAGGTTCTGGGATTCCCCAGATCTCATTTTGTCTCTCATCTCCTGCTCCCAGTGTGAAAATACACCTCAACAGTCCCTCCCAACCAAGGCACCTAGTTAAAGGCTCTACTGACAGCAACTGTTCAAACCTCAACAACAGAAACACTTCAGAGACATCAGGAGATCAGAAACAGAAAGCAAAACCAACAGAGACTGAAGCAGACACCCAGAAAAAAGAGGGACAAACACAAGAGATAGGCAAAGTCCACGGGGAACCCTATGGGGAGAACAGGTGGGAGACAATGAGGTGAGCTGAAGCCTGAGCCCCAGATATTGTGCCTTCCTTTCACTCCTACAGCTTCCAGAGTGCCCCATGCCAGCCTCCTGCCCCCAAGCACATGTAAGTCTATTCTGGGCAGAGCAGGGTACCTGCTCTGTAGCAGAGATGGACTCTCCACTGTGGCACTTGACATCCCAATAAACCAGGAGAAATGCATTGTGTGGCCCGGGATCCCCTCTCCTAGCTGGGCTTCTGCTCATCTCTGAAAGACCTTGCCTCCCCCTGCCACCCTCCCCAGCCCACAGTCCAGCTCCAGCCTCCCCTGCCAACCTTAACTCTCACTTCTCCTCATCACTGGCCAGCTGGGTCCAGCCAGGTCAGTCTTACTCTCTCCAGAGAAGCTCTCTGCCTCCTTACATTCATCTTTGCTCCCGCAGATCCTCCTTCTAGAAAACTCTCTTCTATCTCTGTACTTTTCAAGGCCCCACTCAAATCCTACTGCTCTCAAAAGTTTTCCTCAAGTACCCCAGTTGTGCAGTAACCACTCAGTGCTATGTCCATTCCTCTCCTTGGCAGTTCCCTGCCAGAAACTGTAGCTCTCTGGGTGTGAACTCAACAGCTAAAACACCCTGCCCCAGTGCCCAGCACTGTGCCGAGGAGGCAGTAACAGCTCAGGGAGTATGTGCCGACTGACCACCTGTGATCTGGGTCTTCATGCCTGGTCCAGGGCAGGCTTTACCTGGGGCATCATAGCGATCCACCTCCTTGTAAGACACAGACATGACAGGGTGCTTGAGTTTCTCACGAAAGTCTGTGATGGTTTGATAGACCAGGAAGACGGCCACAGCCATGAGCAGCAGGTAGATGAAGATAAGCAGTACTGAGAAGACATTCTTCAGGCAGGCCTTGCTGAAGCGGATGCTGCTGGAGGCGGACTCACTGTCTAGAGCTGAATGACAACAACATCATGTTTCCCAGAGCATAGGGCAGGGTGGAACCAGAGACTGAGGAGACTCCAGGCTTGGCACTTTACCCAGGAGGCGAGGCTACCCATATACCCAGCCTGCCCACACCACCTCCCCAAATCATGACAAATGGCATCTATAAGCATTTACTCCATACCTACTCTACGTGGCAGGGGACACAAAGCTGAAGGAGACAAGTGTACTGTCTTTAACGTGCTTACTTTCTAAACGGACAGTTACAATCCAACAAATGACCTGGCCTCAATCTAGCTCTCTGGCCTTATCCCTCAAATGTCATTCTCCCAGCCCTCAGCTCTAGCTACATTGAAAAACTCTCTGCTCCTCCAATTTGCCCTTCTATTCGGGCACCTCTCACATTTGCCATTTCTTATAAAGGAGCTCTGATGGCATAGTGGTTAAGCACTCAGCTGCTAACCAAAAGGTCAGTGGTTCAAACTCATCAACCACTCCACGGAGATAGATGAAACAGTCTGCTTCTGTAAATACTGCAGCCTTGGAAACCCTATGGGGCATTTCTATTCTGTCCTACAGGGTCACTATGAGTTGGAATCTACTTAAGGGCAACGGGTTCAGTCTATGCCTGGTCTGGGGACAGTGGTGGATCAGTGGCAGAATTCTCAACTTCCATGCCAGAGACCCTGGTTTGGTTACTGACCAATGTACCTCACACACAGCCACTGTCTATCAGTGCAGGCTGTGTGCTGCTGCGATGCTGAAGAGGTTTCAGTGGAGCTTCCAGACTAAGATGGACTAGGAAGAAAGGCCTAGTGATCTGCTTCCAAAAACCAGCCAATGAAAACCTATGGATCACAATGGTCCAATGTGCAGCCAATCACAAGAAGCATTTCGTTTGTTGTACACGGGATCACCATAAGTGAGTGGCTGACTCAATAGTAGCTAACAACAACAACACCTGGTCTGGGACACTTTTTTTTCAGGGCTGACTCCTAATTCATCTTTCAGGCCTCACTTTAGAAAGGCATTTCCCCTAGGAACTAACTAACTCACTCACTGCCATGACTCATAGCTACCCTCCTCAGGTTTCCGAGGTGGTATCTCTATGGAAGTAGATTGCCCTGTCTTCCTTCTGAGGGGTGGCTGGTGGGTCTTCCTTTGTCTGGGTACCTCCTCCTCAGTGCTCCCAGGCACCCTAAATGTCCCCTACTTTATCCCTCTACATTGCCACTGTCTGTCTACGTATCTTTTATCCCCCTAGGCTGTGAGCTCCATGAGGGAAGGGACTGGGTACTATTGTTCACAAATCAGTCCCTGTCCTCCCTCACTCAGTGCCTGGCAGAGAGGAGGCATTCTATGTTTAAATGGTGAATGACTACATGACTAATTAATGAAATGTGTCAGACATCCTACCCATGACACAGCTCTGGCGTCCCTCCTGAGCCTCAATTACTCTCACCATGCTCCCTGTGCCTTCCTCTGCTCTTCAACCAAACCCACTGCTCCCTGAGGGAAAGGTCTGTCTCAGACTACAGCTGAGCACCTCAGGGAGGAGGTGGAATGTAAACTCAAAAAGGTATCTGAATGGCTTCCGGCTTCCAACAGTGGTAGAACAGCTTGGTCACATCACTCTTTCACAGGTAGCAATTACAAAATTTGGCCAACACATTTAAAAATTATTTGGAAGTTTGGAGAGTAACTAAAAGCAGGCAGATACTGAGAGTTTACCTTGAAAGAGAAGAACTAGTGAGAAGTGTACATTTGTGGCTTTGCCTCAGCATGCTCCCCAAACTCTATCAGGCATGGTTCAGGGCAGCAGAAGACAGAGTTCAGGGCAGGCAGAACAACCAGAAAGTCATGGGAAAAATCTTAGAAGGAAAGGAGTCACAGAAAGGTTGAACCCCAAAATCTGCACGTAAGATATATTCAGATGCTTGGTTGGAGACCCCACGGTGTAGGCAAAAAAGCAGCAGCTGAAAACTGAGTAGAGATTTCAGGTGCTACTACTATAGACGAGCTAAGAATTTAGAATCCAGTCAAATTAGCTGCCTCTTCAAAGGAGCGTAACAGAATCCAGAATCTCTCTATAATGTATCATTTATAGTATCATGTTCCATCACAAATCATTAGACATGCAAAAAAGTAAGAAAATATGACCCTTGGAAAGATCAATTACTAGGGAACAGAGGGACAGTGTATGCACAGGGAGTCGGCTCAGGGGGCAGGAGTGCATGGGAGGGAAGGACATAAGGAAGAAGTAACTATGGGGAGGAAGTGGGAAGAGAACTGTTATATTGTGGGAAACTGCAGTCAGTGTCATGAGACAAAACGTGTATGAACCACTGTATGGGAAATGAATTTGTTCTGTAGACTTTCACACAAATCACAAAAATTTAAAAAATGACCCATAATCAAAAGAAAAGAAAAAAGTCTAAAGCCACCTATGGCAAGAAGAATGCAATGTTGCACGGAACAGACAGAAACTTTAAAGGACTTTAAGAAAATATATGGATAAGGAATGAACAAAGCGGAATCTCAGCAAGAAGTATAAACCAAAAAAAAAAAAAAAAAAACCTGGAAGTACTAGAGCTAAAAAAAAATATACAAAATGGAAACATTCACTGCTTAGTACATATGGAAGGTATTATGCAGGTAGATGAGCACAGAAATAAGAATCAATGAACTTAAAGATCAATAAGCAGTCAACATGAAGAAAAGATGTGAAAAAAAGATAGAGCTTAGATACCTGTAGGGTATCAAGTAATCTAACTACAGGCAACTTAAGTCCCAGAAGGAGAGAAAATGGATCACAAAATACTGTTTGAAAACATTACGGACTCTTTATTCAGAGGAAGGGGGAACTGGTTGTCTGCTGTAACCCTGTGAAACTACCCTTGCAGAGAGTGCTGGGCTAACATGGATTGTGACTGCAAAGAAGAAATGAACTCTGTATCTTTTTTGGGGGTTTCTTTTCTTTTTAATGATGTGCTCTTTTTTTTTGTTTTGGAGATACAATTTACATTCCATAACAATTCACCTTTAAAAGTGAATGCACTCAGTGGTTTTTAATTCCAAAATACTTTCACCACCACAAAAAGAAATCCTGTACCCATTAGCAGTCACTCCTCATTTCCCACTTTCCCTAGTCCCTGGCAACCACTATCTATATTCTCTCTTTGGATTTGATGGAATCTTACATGTAACCTTTGTATCTGGCTTTCTTTCACTTAGCACATTCTCAAAGTTCATCCATGTTGTAGCATCTATGAGTACTTCATTTATTTTTATCATCTAATAATATTCCACTGTACGAATATTCCATATTTTACTTATTTATTCACCTGTTGATGGACATATGGGCTGTTTCCACCTTTTGACTAAAATGAATAATGCTGCTATAAACATTCAAGTACGACTTTGTGTGTATAGACATACACCTCTATTTCTTGTTTGTACAGACCTAAGAGTGAATCTACTGGGTTTACTCTGTTTAACTTTTTGCAGAACTGCCACACTGTTTTCCAAAGCAGCTGCACCACTTTACATCCCCACCAGCAATGTTATGAGGGTTCCAATTTCTCCACATCCTCACTTCCAATGCTTGTTATTGTCTGTCCTTTTGATTTCAGCTCTTCTAACTGGTGTGAATGAAGCCCTTGTGGTGCAGTGGTTAAAGCTCTTTGGTGCTACCTGAAAGATGGGCAGTCCAAACCCACCGCCACTCTCCAAGAGAAAGATGTAGCAGCCTACTTCCATAAAGATGTCAGCCTTGGCAGGTCTACTCTGTCCTATAGGGTCGCTATGAGTTGGAATCAACTCTACAGTAAGGAGGTTTGGATTGGAATGGGTGTGAAGTGATATCTCATTGTGGTTTTAATTTGCATTTTCCTGATGACTAATGACGTTGAACATCTTTTCATATGCTTATTGGCCATTTGTGTATCTTCTTTGGAAAAATGTCTTCTCAAACCCTTTGCCTATTATTAAATTGTGTTGGTCTTTTAATTGTCAATCTGGAAGTGTTCATCATATAGTCTAAATAAAAGACCCTAAAATCACAAACATGATTTACAAATATCTTCTCCCATTCTGTGGGTTGTCCTTTCACTTTCTTAATAGTGGTCTTTGACACACATTTTTAATTTTGAAGAACTCTAATTTATCTATTTTTTTCTTTGGTTGCTTGTTTTCATCTATTCTATTAATATACAATTGTTTCCAGGGAGACCTAATTGTAATGACTAATTTGCAAAGTGTTTTCCTCAGTCTATTTGATTACATCTTTCATGTAATAAACTGCTTATTCAATTAACATGTCTGCTCTCATTTCTCCCTTTGAAAATAGTAATAAATGGTTGTGAGTCACTTGAGAGGGGAAATTAATAGACTCAGGTGCTTACCATGTTATTGTATGGAATTATTCATCCCAGAAAGTAAGTATGTATATGTAAGCCTGATTCCGTGTATGTAATGGGCCCAGGAGGACAACTGCTCAGCACGTTCAGCATCCATGTTAGTGTCTTCCCATCTATTCCTGGCTCTAGGCCCTCCATTCAACAACTCCTCTTCTTCTAGTCCCTAAATGTGCACAAATGTGCATCAATTGTTGGTGTTCATGGCTCTCCCCTGTTCATTCTACATTGTCCCTGGCTTCTTCAGGGCTCCCAGTCCTCATCCTGTAGGACTTCTTCCACTTTCACCTCCTTAGCCCTCACCAGTCTCTTATACTCTTACTTTACTGCCTCAGGGCTTTCTCCACCAACATGTCCCATACCAACAGAAGCTTGGTATGTTTACAACAGCTAAGCATCTTCTCTTCCAAGTCACTTGCCACTCCAGACTCTATCTCTGGTAGTTATCATTCTACCATTCACCAGGCTACAAACCTCAGCATCTTTGGTTCTTCCCTTTCACACATGTAAGCTATCATGTGGGGGAAGCCTATCATGTTAGCCTTTGATGTGGCACAGTTGTCTTTCTTCACTTGTATCCTAGCCCTACACTACGACCACAATGACCTTCCTAAATCCCCACTTTAGTCCTCATAATTCCCCTGCTCTAATTCCTTCAGATATTCCATACTTCCCCAGATAAAGTCCAAACCCTGGTACTCAAAACCCTCCACGATCTGATCCAGTCTATCTTCTCAACCTCATCTCCCTTCACTTCCCTCACCAACCCTCTGCTCCAATCTCTGGTGGAGAGCAGCAAAGATTTGGAGTAGGGACGCATAAAGTCAAAACAGCTTGGAAGATAGCCCTGTGTTCAAATTTGGGCTCTGGCATTCACTAGCTCTGAATGTATTACCTAACCTCTCTGTGCCTCAGATTTCTCATCTGTAAACTAGGAATAACCATCTCCCTCACAGATGGATTGTGAAGACTTATGTGATAAAATGTATATGAAAAGCCCTAACCAGACCTAATACATAGGGAAAAAAAAAAAATCTCATTGCCGTCAAGTCGAATTCAACTCATAGCAACCCTTCCTTGCGGGTCCCAATCTTCCTTCTGAGGAACGGCTAGTGGGTTTGAACTGCCACCCTTCTGGTTAGCAGTCAAATGCCCTAGCCACTATGCAATCAGACCACCCAATACGTGGTGGCTACTGTCACCATTACTGTTATTTCTGTCATTGTTAGAGGGCTCAGAGGCAGGAAATAAACTCTGAGAGTTCTATGATATTAGACCAACCACCAAATTTGGGCCAAGTCTCAACTGAGACTAGCCAAATGGACTTCTAACAAATGAACCTTCTAAGGTCTAGAAAAGAGATGGGCCCAGGAGGAGTTACTCAGAAGCAGAGGTGGCTTTTTTTTCATAATGTCCCAAAATTTGTTCCACCTGGGGCCTGGCTTCCTGCTCTGACCTCCAGCTATGAGACACAGGGAATCTCGATAGTGCAAAATTAAAGATTAAAAAAAAAAAATCACTGCCATCAAGTTGATTCCAACTCACAGCAACCCTATACGACAGAGTATAATTGCCTCATAGGGTTTCCAAGGCTATAAATCTTTTCGGAAGCAGATTGTCATTCTCCTGTGGTAAAGTTGGTGGATTCGAACTGCCAAACTTTTGGTTAGCAGCTGAATGCCTTAACCACTGCACCACCAGAGCTCCTTTTAAGACAGAGGATATTCAAGTCAAAAGTCACCATGCCATTTATTGTCAAAGGAAACACAAAAAGAAACCTCATCTTTCCAAGTCTGATCTCTCTTTTTCTTGCTGCCACCATCTGCTTTCTAAATAATCTCTTCTGATTGAGGGAAAGAAGGCTGTGCAGGGCTTTCAAACTCCTTTCCCTGAAGCCTTAGGACTTCTTGGGCACTGCCAGAGTCAGACTCCAGGGGCAACCCTACCACTATCTTTTACATACAGGGCTTTAACAGAGGGATGCTTAAAATTGGGGTAGGGGGATATATAGAAGAAATGGCATGAATTTAGGATCAAGCTTGGTTTAGTCTGTCTGTTTACCAGCTGTGTAATCTCCCAAACTTTTGTTACCCTTCCTGAGCCTCAAGTCCTCATCTGTAAAACAGAGGACCTGTACAAGGTTGTTTTGAGAATTACATGAACATGGATATGAGAGGAGGCAGTCAGTAAACATTAACTTTCCTTACAGCCTCTTTCCTTCTACAAAGTTTTCTCTGACTAAAGATGAGGCAGAGTTACACAATTTCCTATCACGTTCCTCTCCCCCACAAGTACAAGAGTCAAAGAGGAGCAAAACCCTACCTCCCCCAATCCACCAAAAAGCTGAAGTCAGGCTGGGGCTCCATTCACTCATTCAACAAATATTATTGCATAGTCAGACTAAGGTAGTGAACAAAACAGACTGGTCTCTGTTCTCATGGATTTTACATTCTACTAGAATAGAAAGACATTAGTCAAAGAGTCACACAAATAAATATATATTCCACTAGCAACAGTGGCAAAAGAAGTTACAGAGTGGTAAAGGGTGCAAAGGGATCCATACAGGAGGTCAGAGAAGCTTTGTAGAGAAATGTGAGCTAAGAGTTGAAGAATGATTAGGCATTAACTAGGTGATGAAGGGAAGAGAATTCCAGGCAGAAGAATAAAACAACAGAAAGGCTCTGTGGTGATAAGAAGGCTCCAAATAAAAGGCCAGCTCTGCTGAAAGGTGGAGAAAAAGGGGAGGAAGGGAAGGAAGCAATAAGTTCAACTGGATGAATGGGAGTGCCATTCCCAGAAACAGTGAACACTGGAAGAGGACTGTTCACTCCCTAATGCTGCTGTTAACAAAAAACCCAAGTGGGTAGCTTTAAAGAACAGAAATTTGTTGTCTCAGTTTTAGAGGCTAAAAGTCCAAATCAGGGCAAGGGCCCTAGAGGAGAACCCTTCCTTGTAGTTCCAGGTATTCCTTAGCTGGTAGATGGTTCTTCCTGTGGTCTCCTCCCTCTCGTGTGTGTCTGCGTCTTTTCTGCCGTTTTCCTAACACCACTCATAGAAGATTAGGTTTAGGACTATGAGGTACAGAAAGAAAACTGGACTTTTGTTCTGGGTCCCTGAGAGGCAGACCACCTGGGGGCTGATATTCACTAAGTCTCATAAGGCACAATATAATTTACCATGAACAGGTGATGAGGCTGGATAAGAGCTCTGAGAACAGGGGCTCACCCAAGAGTCAATACTGACTAGGCCTCAGAGCCATGATGTAATTGATCCTGGTCACTAAAGGCTTTAGAAGATGGGGACTCAGTGCAGCTTCTGGGTTGGAGAGAGAGAACATTTTGCTCTGACCTAGTTTCCAGGTAGCTAGAAATGAGAGAAAGAAGGGGCCGGCTGGTCTGAAACACAGGGAATTGTGGATTTCCAAGCTTGTGTGCATTGCCCCCGACTTAACCCTAGGTAGCTGGGGAGGAGAGAGAGTGCTGCTTGGAGTGGCTGGAAATGAGAATGGAGAAGTAGAAAGGTGATGACTAGACCCATGTACAGATAGGAACTGTATTCATGCTGATCCTTACCATGCAATTAGCAATAAAAGTGGGACTTACCCAACATGTCCCTTCCCATGCTCAGTTAAGGACCCACCCAATTCCCATATGACCTCGTTAACATAAAAGAAAATCCTTATTTCAAAAATATCATATTTACATGTACAGGAGGATTAGGACTTCAACAAACTGCCTGGGGGACACAATTCAATCCATAACAATAGTCAAACTGCAGGTAGGAGATCATGAGGTCAATTTTGGACATGTGAAATTTAGGTATCTTTGAGACATCCAAGCAGAGCTATCTCCTGGGCAACTGGGTATATACTGTACAGTATACAGGTCTGAAAGCTGTAAGCTAGAGAGGAACAAGAAGGGAAATATTAGGGGGCCTAGGTAAGACTGCCCAGGAAGAGGGGAGAGATTGAGAGGAAGAGGCCTAGGACAAAGATTTAACAGCCAAGAGCTACAATTTGTGACTGCAATTGGAGCCTAAAATGAGTGATCTGAAGAGTTAAGGAGGCAGAGTGTATCTAGGAAGAAGAAGTGGTCAACAGTGTCCAATGTTGCTGAGATGCTCTGTGAGATGCCACTCAGCATTTCATAGGACCCTGCTCACCCACGTGGGTGGTGATGCTAAAGGCCTGAAGTCAGGTGATGGAGACTAGGAGATATCCTCCCCAGAGGGCTCTTGGAAGTGAGCCAGACATTAGAGGCTCAACAGCTAGGGAGAAGGAAGGGAAGAGCAGAAGCCCAAAGTCCTTGCTATGTTATCTGATGAGCTGGCCTCAGAGGCTAAGCCCAAACTGGGGTACAGAAAAGAAGCAGATACCAGCCTGGAGGTATCCTCTGTCCCAAGGCTGGTTAAATATGTATAGCTTTAAAACTAGGACAACACCTGAGATCTGACACCAGGGTGCAGGACAGGGGGATACACCTCTCCCATAGGTACCCAAGTGGCTAGGCTTGGACTGGGGCCTCCAGCTGCAGCATCAGCACAGCATCACTTTCCAGCACTTCTACCCCAGCACTGAACCCACTTACCTGGTAAGACACCCTGGATTTTGACTGTCTCCTTTTCTTGCTCGTTTACCTGCTCAGAGTTCTCAACCACCTGGTCCAACTCCTCACTCAGCTGAAAAGAGAAAGAAAGAGGGCAAGCAGGTCAGCTACATCAGTCTTGTTTTTCTAGAAGAGAGTAAGAAAACAGAAGCTGCTTCTCACTTAATTGTTGCAAGATGTAGGTACGGTCTGTTTCACCAATTCTACAGATGAGAACACAGAAGCCCAGAAAAGTCAAGAAACTTCAAATAGGGGGCCGGCATCTACCAATGCCTGTAAAAGATGGAGCCAGAAATCAAATCCAAGTTCCAAACCCTATGGCCATAACCACTTCCCAAAAGGGAAGGAACACAACTTAGGGTCTGCTGAGAGAGCAAAGGGCACAATGACATCAGTGTCTGAGCTTTCTGAGACAATGGGTAAAGTCCACCGACTCCAGCTGCAAAGGGCAGAACCCAGTGGAAAAGACAGTCCATTCCAGGGTCACATGCCAATGAGCAGCCTGGCAGCAGGTGAATTCAACCCACTTCATCAGTTTTCTGTCAAATGGAGAAATAATGCCACTGAGGTGGTTAGAAGGACAAAAGGGATACAATGATAACCAACAAGTCTCCATAGAATTGGGGAGGAGAGTAGGAGAGGTCAAGTCCCAAGTTTAAGAGGAGGAGCTATCCCTGAATTGATAGAGGGGTAGATTCTCAAGTGATTTCTTAGGCTCACAGTGTCAACACTTGGGGTCTCAAGACATCTTCATGTTAAAAATCCATCTCCAAGGTTTAGGGTAATGGTTCCTGGAACATCCCAGTTAACTGGCCTAAAAATGTGTTTAGTGCTTCTGTTCTACCTCTTAGTTTGTTGCATAGTGTCTGTAGTCTTAAAGATTGGCCATCCCCATCTAGATGCAACAATGGGTCTCTCCTTGTCCAGAGCAAAAAAGAATGGAGAAAACCAAAGATTCATGGAAACAATTAGTCCAAGCGACTGGTACACTATGCAATCCTCAGCCTATACGACTATGAGACCAGAAGAACTAGATGGTGCCCGGCTACCATTATCAACTACTCGAAGGGGCATCTACGTAGGAGATCCTGGATAGAGTGGGAGAACAATGTGGAACAAAACTCAAAATCATTTAAAAAAAAAAAAGAGAGACCACGATTGCTGGTCTGATAGAGCCTGATGGAACCACTGAGACTATGGCCCCTAGCTGCCCTTCAGGTCTGGAATTGAACCCATTCTTGTGACTTCCAGCCAAATAAAAGACAAGTATATGAGGTAAACATTTACATTAGGTAGATACATTCCTTGGAGAGAACAATCATGGGAGAACAGAAGGCTTGTGTATGCACAAGGAGACAGCTCGGGAGGCAGTTGTACATGGAGGGAAGGACACAGGGAAGAGGTAACTATGGGGAGGAAGTGGCAGCGGAGCTGTAGCATTGTGGTAAATTGTAGACAATGTCTTAGACAAGAATGTGAGTTGCTGTATGGAAAGGGAATTAGCTCTGTAAATTTTCACCCAAATCACAATTATAAATAGATAAATAAATATAATGGCGGGGAGGATTGGCCATCCAAAGCACAACTGGTCTTTACTTACCTGGTCCAACAGAGGAAGGAGAGTCAGGAATAGGAGGAGGAAACAGAATGTGTAACTAATTGCCTCCATGAACAACTACCTACTCTGCCATGATGAGACCAGAAGAACTAGATGGTGCCAAGCTACTATTACAGAACATTTTTATAAAAGATTCCATCGAAGAATCTTGATCAAAAGGGGAAAAAAGCCATAACAGAATTTCAAATTCTCATAGACTCTACACTTCCTGGAGCCACAGAGGCTAGATAAAACCCTGAACTATTGCCCTGATATAATCTTTAACCCTTAAACCAAAAATATCCCCTGAAGTCTTCTTAACACCAAACAATAGTTTACTTAGTAAAGAATGCCTGCCTTGAGCACTGTGCTTTTTAAAGATCTACATGGGTCAAAGAAGCTCTGGTGATACAGTGGTTAAAGCATTCAGCTGCTAACCAAAAAGTCAAAGCTTGGAACCCACTAGCTGCTCCACAGGGAAAAGATGAGACAGTCTGATTTTGTAAAGATTCACAGTGTTCAAAACCCTATAGGGCAGTTCTCCTCTGTCCTGTAGGGTCTCTCTGCATCAGAATTGACTCAATGGCAGTGGGTTTGTTTGTATGGGATCAAACTAACAACAGCAACTCAAAAGATTAGATAGAAAACTTAGGGGACAATTAGTTTGTCAGGGGTAGAGAAACAACGCAGAAAAGGAGAGTGAGAATGGTTGCACAACTCAACATAATTAATGTCACAAAATGTACATGTAGAAACGGTTGAACGGGTCTGGGTTTTGCTGTCTATATTCTCAACAACAAAATAAAAAAAAAATGCTTTAAAAATTCACCTCCAAGACACCTGCATTAAAATAAAGCTCTTATGCATTTATTATTTTTCCATCTCCCTCTGCCTACCCCCTGCCATACCTCCACTCTTGCCCCTTAGAATAAGGCATACCCTCCAGTTTAAAACCATCCAAGCACAAAAGCCAATCAACAATGGGAGGGTGGTGGGAGGCTAGAAAAGGCATCATGAAATACAAGCCTCTAGTGGGAGTTCTGGCAGCATAGTGGCTACGGCACTTGACTGCTAACCAGAAGGCTGGTGGTTCAAATCCACCAGCCACTCCTCGGAAGGAAGATGGGGCAATCTACTTCCGTAGTGATACTGCCTCAGAAACCCAAGGAGGGGTCGCTATGAGTCGGAGCCCACTCAACGGCAAACAACAACAAGTGGGAACAGAGATAAAAAGTCCCAGGGCTGGCCAAAGGGAAAAGAGATTAGAAGCTGTTCACACTGCTAGGGCATCAGGATGTTAGTGCTGAGAACGCCCAAGATTGTCTGATCCAAGATTCTCCCAGGTTCTGGCTAACCCAAGTAGCAATGTTCTGCTATCAAAATTCCTTCCCGGCCACACACAGCCATGGTAAGGCCATCTCCTTGCTTGCCCCTGGCCAGCTGAACACAAGTTTTCCACATGCCCCATCACCCAGAACAAAGAAACTGAACAAAGAGCAACATCCACTCTCAGAATGATCTGGACAAGAACACTGCAGGCCACCCTCTGGGCAGTCTCCCTTCTCTGAAGAAGGCAACACAGGGAGTTCAGAATGAGGATCTTAAGAAGTCAAGGAGAGGGGACCATTTCAGGGCCTCCTACTGTGAGGGTGGCCTTACAGAGAAACTAACTCTACCCTGGCCTTGTCCTTGCAAGTGGAACGTTGATCGATATTTTAGTAAACATTTTAGGAGCTCTGCTTGGTGAAGAGATGCAGGCTCCATGTGGATGGGAGAGAGACAGGGTCCTGTTAAGCCAGGACCCCAAAGCTTCCTTGAGGCAGGAATTGTCCACAAGAGCTGTAAGGAGCTACCATCACCTCATAGATAGTACCTGCCAGGCACTGAGCTAAGCAGTTTCCTCACCACTCATTTAATCCTCTCACAAGGACCCCTTGAGGTAGGGACTATCATCTTCGATTTTCAGATGAAGAAACTGAGGCTCAGAAAAGTTAAGAGACTTGACAAAGAGCATAGATGGCAAAGCCATATTATTTACCCACTGTGCTCCAATTCCTAGAAACCTGAAAACACTGAGTGAGGGACAGACATGTCTCATTCCGCACGATTCCTCCACTGTCTAGAAGCCACGGAATAAGCAATGGATTTTACATTAGGCATCTAAAGAAAGTAGAGGGGTGAAAGGAGAAATATAAAACTCTGTCATAAGGCCAGATTCCAGCCCAGGTCCTATACTAACGTATGGAAAACCTCAGGCAATCTCATCTGTCTTCAACTCGGCTTTTCCTTCTACTGTGGAGCTAAGCCATCTTTATGTACTCCACAGAGTCCTTATGTGAATCATAATCACAAAAGGGAGAACTGTACATCAAAAGGAGCTCTGGTAGCATAGTGCCTAAGGCATTTGACTGCTAACCAGAAGGCTAGTGGTTCAAACTACCAGCCACTCCTCAGAAGGAAAGTTGGGCAATCTACGTCTGTAGTGATACCACCTCGGTAACCCAAGGAGGAGTCGCTATCAGTTGGATCCAACTTGATGGCAGTGAGTTTGGTTTTTTTGTTTGTTTGGTGCATCATAAACTACTGATCAAGACAAAGCAGCAAGTTCATGAGATGGACAGAGAGAATGCTAGACTGGCCTGGTATGTCAGTTTCTATAAAACATGTGAGACTTCAAATGGTCCTTGAATAATTAGGGGAAGGGAGGGTTAACCAACGGAAGAAGTCCTGGGGCAGCACAAGTGGCATGTAATCAGCTGCTAGCCTAAAGGTTGGTGGTTCAAACACACTCAGAAGCTCTGTAGAGCAATCAGTTTCAGCCAAGAAACTCTTATGGACCCCATGTAACACATAGGGGTCAGAATCAACTCAGTGGAAATGGGATTAACCAATGGAATTTGGGAGAGCATTAAAGAAGAAACAGTGTGAGCACATGCACAGAGGTAGGAAAGCAATGGGCACATTTATTTTATTTATTTATTTGTTTGTGATTTTGCTGAAAATTTACAGAGCAGATTGGTTTTTCCATTCAACAGTTCATACACATTTTGTCTTATGACATTCATTGCAATTTCCACAATGTAACAGCACTCTTCCCACTTCCTCCCTGTGTTTACCATTTTCCTTTGTTCTTCTTTCCTATCCCTTTCAGCCTTCTTAGCTTTAAAAAATCCAAAACCAAACTCACTGCCATCGACTTAGATTCTACTTACAGTGACCTCTCCTTAGGTTTCCATGGCCTTCTGGTCAGCAGTCAAATGCCTTAGGCACTACGCCACCGGAGCTCCCTGGACAAATGCTGCCCTCTTGATCTTGTATGGTTGATTGTTCTAATGAGTGCATACCTTTCTGGTATTACTATTCACCTTATAGGCCTATCGAGCTCTGGTGTAGTGCCTAAAGTATTTGCCTGCTAATCAGAAGGCTGGTGGTTCAAACCTACCAGCCCTACCACCCACTCCTCTGAAGGAAGGTTGGGCAATCTACTTTCAAAGTGACACCACCTTGGAAACCCAAGGAGGGGTCGCTATGAATCAGATCTGACTTGATGGCAGTGAGTTTGGTTTTTGTTTTTTTATGGGCCTATCGTTGGAGTTTTGTTCCATATGTTTCTCCCACTATATGTGGGACCTCGGTAGCTAGGCACTCACTATACAGTTCTTCTGGTCTCAGAGTCATAGAGGCTAGGGTTCATGTGGTCCATTAGTCCTTTGTTGTTGTTTGCTGTCGAGTCGGCCCCGACTCATAGCGACCCCTCCTTGGGTTTCCGAGGCAGTATCACAACGGAAGTAGGATTGCCCAACCTTCCTTCCGAGGAGTGGCTGGTGGGTTTGAACCGCCAGCCTTCTGGTTAGCAGTTAAGTGCCTTAGGCACTATGCTACCAGGGCTCCTATTAGTCCTTTAGACTGTTTCCTTACATCTTTTTCTTCACTCTTTTCTGCTCCAGATGGAAAGAGACCAGTAGTTACACATTAGATGGCTGCCCACAAGCTTTTAAGACTCCAAGGGGCACATTTTTAAATGGCGAGTTTCAGTGTGGCCAGAGCTTAAGTGGGTAAGGAGATGATGACAGAAATAGGAGATGAAGTTATAGTCCCGAACACGACTTTGAAAGCTTGCTGAGCAATTTGGACTGTTCTGGGTAGACAGAATCAGGTTTCTGAGAAAAAAAAATGAATGTTCCTGGATCAAGGCAGGACCATGAAGTTAATGTGCATAGTATATGGAGAGACATAAAGGAGAGCAGAAACAAAGACACAAAATGGAGAAGAGCTGAGGACGTGGAACTGCCGGGACTTGGCAAGTGAAGGAGGCACGGTGGAGGGGAACAATAAAGAAGTTTATCAAAAATGCCCAAGATTTGGGGACTGAGAGGAAGAGGAAGAGGAGAGCAGTGAAACAATAGAGTGAAAGAATCAGAAGAAGAGCTGGTCTGAGAGAAAAGCTTGAATCACAGCCTGTAGCTCTGGACAGATAACAAAGAACAGGAAGGTGATAGTTAAAAGTCGTGGGAGGAGGTAAGGCTGTTAAGAGATAAAGGGGAGTGAGAAACAGCGATGTCTTTGAAAGCACTTTTCCAAAGTTAGGAGGCCATCAAAACAAGATGTAATTATCCCAGTCATTAACTTGCCGCAGGCGCCGAGAGGCCCCGGGTGGAGGAGGGCTGATGCTGACCGCGCATCTGCTCTGCTGGGAAGAGGACGCTGCCGCTTCCACTTATTGCAGAGAACACCAGGTTCCTTCTCTGGACCACGCACGGTCCGCTCCGGGCCGCCGCGCTGCTGACTGGGCCCGCCGCAGCTTTAATCATTCACCTGCTGGTTACGGGTCGCGGCTCCCCGCACCTGGCTCCATCGCTAGGCAGAGCAGCAGGCAGCACCGGGAGTAGGCTCGGCGCCCGCCCCAACACCTTACTTCTTTTCCGCGCGGCCACTCCACCGGGCTCAGGAGCCCTCCCCGAAACACTCAGCCCGCTCCCTGGAGCCGCGCCCGCCCGAAGCCGCAAAGCGCCAAACCCCACCCGCCCAGACCCCCGGGGCCGCGCTCTACAGCAGCAAGAAACTTTGCTTCCGTCCCCCACTCCCTTGTTACCTCCTGGTAGGATGTGGAGAGCTCTTGCCGGATCATGGCACTGGCGAAAGCTAAGGCACACCTGAAGCCCGCTACCGCCACAAGGCAGGAGAGAAGATAGCACTACGGCCGGAGCTCGGAAACCTGCCGGCTCTATGAGGAGAACCGGTTCGGAGGAGCGTCCCGGAGACAAGACGGGACGGCACTTCACGCATGCGCCTCGCTTCGGCTGCCGCAGAAGCCGCAAAAATATTGCTGGGAAATGTAGTTCTGGAGTGGTGACGCCTGCGCGTTACCACAAAGTAGGCTAAGTTCTGGCGTTAGACGTGTGGCCCGTCTTGAACTCTAACTGTTTCTCTCTGAAGTGGAGAGGAGAGTAGAAGTGTGGGAGAGAAGGGGAAAAAAAAAAAAAAATGACTGTAAAGTGGGCCAGGGCAGATGGGCGGGAGTGCCTGACCTGTAATTGCAAGAGGATGCTTGGCCTGGTGGTTTATAACAGTAAGCAAATGTCTAGAGAGCACTTTGTTACATTTTACGCACACTATGGCCTTGAACCTGCGGGGAAACCTGTAAGGGGGGCGTTTTCTCCCTATTTTACACGTGGGAAAACTGAAGTGCCTTGTTTCAGAAAGGATGGGAGGTGGTGATCTAGCTAAAATGATTTAATCCAAGAATGGACTGTATAGTTGCTTTTCTTTCAGTATTCCTGAGGCAGACACATGGAGTCTGGACTCTGAGGAGGTTCTTGCCCTGGCTTTGCCCTCAGTTGCGGGTTTTATGCAGACAGACCTCATTTTATTGCACTTCACGATAGTGTGGGTTTTTTTGTAATAAATTGAAGGTTTCTGGCAATCCTGCGACAAGCAGTTCTATTGGCACCATTTTCCCAACAGCCTCTGTGTCACATTTTGGTAATTCTCACAATATTTCAAACTTTTTCATAATACTCAATAGACTACAGTATAGTGTAAACATAATTTTTATATAAGCTGAAAATATTGTGTGACTCGCTTTACTGCGACAGTCACTTTACTGCAGTAGTCTGGAACCAGACCCACAGTATCTCTGAGTATGCCTGTACTACCCTGAGCCCTGCACTTTTCACTTTAGAATGTAGCTGCTCAGTGCTGCCTTGCATCACAGGGCCCTATGATAGAGACCACACAAGTAAAACCCAGAGCGTGCCTTTATGGTACTATTCACCACTGCAGAAGCCTCCTTCCCTGAATGTGGTAGAGAATTGGGTGTTGGTCCTGTGGCAGGGTGGACCTGAAGACCACATCTTCCTCTCCTCCAGCTGGCAAACAGCTGTTTGTGGCTGCCCTGGGGCTGCAGTGGAGAAGTAGATAGAGGCTGCTTATGCCTTGGTGAATGCTGCTCTGTGTCTCTTGCTGCTGCAGCTCTGCAACTCCCTCCACTCAGGCCACTCAGGGCCTCTTCCTTCCTCAGTGCAAACACAGTACCTCAAACCACATCAGAGTACCTTGGATCTCCTGAAACTCTGGCAGTGGAAGGCCTCCATCACCTATCCTGACCATCCTCTCCCAGCCCCAGGCCCTCTAGTTTTGCATCTATTAAATGGGACGATACATATGGTGGCTAACACAATGTAGACACTCAACAAATGTTTGTTAAATTTATGAATGATAAACTTATTCCAGCCATGCCATTGACAAAACAACCAACTAATTAAATTTCTTACTGTATTAATATGAATGTGGCTGATAGGACAAGTCACAGAATCATATAATTTTAGAACTGGAAGGAACCAGAGAAATCTATTCCAGTCCTTTCATTCTTCTCTACTCTGTTGATATAAACGAACTGGAAAATTATGGGCTCCTAACACATGGAGCTCTGGTAGCATAGTGGCTAAGGCACTTGACTGCTAACCAGAAGGCTGGCGGTTCAAACCCACCAGCCACTCCTCGGAAGGAAGGTTGGGCAATCCTACTTCCGTAATGATACTGCCTCGGAAATCCAAGGAGGGGTCGCTATGAGTCAGGGCTGACTCGACGGCACATAACAACAACAACACATGAGAGTTGCCATGAGTCAGAATCAACTCAACAGTTAGTAACTAGTTTGGTTTTCTGGATTGTCTTACATTTGAAGGAGATATTGACTAGTACAACATTCAACATTGATTCAACAAATACAATGTTCCGGGCACTGGAAACAAAGAAATGAATAAGATATAGCCCAAGGTCTTTCCTCTTGTGGGTCTTACTTGCTAACATGGACAGAAAGAGACTACAAACATGCAAAGGGAGTGTTCTGTATTTGCTATCTCCAAGGTCCCTCCTCCCACACTCCCTGGTGAGCACACTCCAGTCAGTCTCTCAGCTCCTTCACTCCACTGCAAACGTGACTGTCAAGGTCACAAATGACTTCCCTGTTGCCAGATTAAGCAGTCATTTCCCCTCTTTCTTGGTCTATCAGCAGCATTTGACTCAGCTGATCCTCCTTCTTCTAGATACAGCTTCTTCCCTTAGCTTCTAGGACACCCATATTCCCCCTTTTCCTCCTTACTCACTGGCTGCTCCTTCTCCATCTCATTACTGCCTTCTCCTTATCTCCTCAGCTCTGGGATTCCCCAAACCCAGGTCTTCAGACTTCCGCTTTACCCAACTCCCTAGCAGCTAGGTGAGGTAATCTCCTCTGGTCTCATAGCTTCAATTACCATATGCACCCTAGAGAATCCCAAATGTCTCTCTCCAGCCTCCAGCTCTCCCCTGAGGTCCAGGTTCATATGTCCAACTGCCTAACACCTTCTCCACTTCGATGTCCACCAGCAGCAACAGAATATAGTGACTTAAAGCAGGAACTCTGAAGATAGACTGTTGTTGTTATTGTTAGCTGTTGTAGAGTCAACCTTTTTTGAGATATAAAAAAGCAGACTGAATAAGCAAGAAACACAGATGAAGGAAGATATATGCCATACCACATGAGATCTCCAAGGAAGCAAGAAATAGAAGCTGAAAAAAGACAAGGACCTTCTCCAAGAGCCAGCAGAGGGAAAAAGCCTTCCTCCAGAAGCAGCACCCTGAATTCAGACTTCTAGCCTCCTAAATCTGTGACAAAGAGGCCCTGGCAGCACAGTGGTTAGAGTGCTCAGCTGCTAACCAAAAGGTCAGTGCTCCAAACCCACAAGCCACTCTGTGGGAGAAAGATGAGGCAGTCTGTTCCCGTAAATATTTACAGCCTTGGAAACCCTATGGGACAGTTCTACTCTATCCTATTGGGTCACTATGTGTCTTGAGTTGACTCGACAGCAGTGGGTTTGAACTGTGAGAAATTAAATTTATGTTTGTTAAAAACACCCACTTGTGAGACTTCCGGTAAGATGGCAGAATAGGGAGAAAGACTGCACAGACCGTCTTCAAAAAAGAAAAGGGGAACCAATTAACACAGACACAGAAGATAATCCTAGACCCCTGAGCCTTGAAGGGAAAGATATAGAAGTGGACTAAACCCAAACTAGCAGAAGAATTTGCATGAAAATACCAAAAAAGGAGACATACGGAGCTGTGGTCTGGCAGCAACACTGAGCAAGCCTGACGACATGGCACAGACAGCTTGGAGAGTGCCAAGTGGTGGGTAGGACTTAAGAATTAGCCTAAAAATCAGCCCTGCTAGCCAGGGACTGCATGGAGGACTGCTCTGGTGCCCGAGGAACAAAACTTGAAGCACCAGCGAAGAGAAAGGTGGGTTGAACTGTGGACTTTTACCTGTCTGGAGGGTGCCGCCATTTTGAATGTTTACAAGCGGCTTGACCATTTTGGATTTTTAAAGCGACAGCACTCTCTGAGATTCCAGGGGCTTAAGAACAGGTTCTGCTAGCCAGTAACCCCAAGGATATGCAAGACATGAATGACTGAAAAGTTTTTTGGTGGCTATTCAGTTGTAATTTTTGTCTAATTGAGTGGGAGACAGCAAAAGTCCCCATAAGACAAAACTACACCCACACCTCCTGCAACTTCATTTACTGACCGAGAGCCACTACCTTCTTGTCTATCGACGGGACAGTGATAAAAAACCACCAAGAAGAGCCTGAATCACTGTTGGCTGCTCTTCATAAACAGTTAACAGAGATCTTAATACAACAATGCCACAATGTCTCGGAGATGACAGATCATCATAGTCCATACAAAGAACAAAGATAAAGTGGTAGAAACAAGGAAACAGGATACAGATTGAGAACATATCCCTGAGGAAGAAGCAGCATTGAAACTCTCTGATAAAGAATTCAAAAGAATGATATTTAGGTATCTTCAAAGGATTGGGAGACAGACCAAAGAAAACAGAAAAAACCCTAGAAGAATTTTGGAAGAAAATACAAGAACAAAATGACAAAATAAATAAAAAATTAGAAATGATTCTAAATCTACAGATAGAAATCCAGAAGATTAATACTAAATTGTCAGAAATAGGTAACACATTAGAAG